CAGATGCAGTAAAAGTTCTCCGCCCGCCCTTATCTGCCTAAATGCAGGACCTAAATTTTGCTTTGAGGAAGATGCCCCCCTGTACCCGGAAGAAGGAAAGTGACTCTTATCACCGGTGACGGGAGTTGCATTGAGAAGAATCTGCATAAACCAGCAAATGGAAGAGAGATAACTCTTCTCGTCCATTCATTTCTCCCATATATTCCTAAACACTTTCTCACGGGTTACTACCCCGGAAGCCCAAACGTTCTTTTCTTTATCCAGTCACTTCTCTATAACCCATCCCCCTTTGCTCAAATAGTATTTAATTTCTCAAGTCTAAACACTTACTGGAGTTTTCTACTTCTTTTTGTGAAGCTGCTGTGCCTAAAATCTTAACATCAATAAAATTTGTATCCTTTTTCTCTTGTGAATCTGTGTTCTGTCAGGTTAATTTGCAGATCCCCAGGAATAGAACCTAAGACAGTATGGGACAAATGTTTCTTCCCCTCTAATCCCGGGTGTGGAGTTGGTCGGCGGAGGGGCGGGACGTGGGTCAGCAGCCTTCATGCCCTTTTCCCAGAGAGGTTCTTGCAGTTGGTTTGGCTCTTGGACGTTACTCACCCGCTTCAGCAACCGCAGCTGCTGTGCCCGACAAATGGCAAAAGACAAGACACCAACCACACAAAGATCCCAGTGCGCAGGTTCCCTGCCTCATCTTGACTTTCAAGTGCCTTTATGTGCCTATGCAATGTTGCAATGTTAATCCTCGAGGGCGAAATCCAAGCTGGTTTATCCGCAGAGCTACCAGGGCCCGTGGTGATGGTGAGCAACGAGGCACTAAATTTCTTCTCCTACAATACAAAGGATCTGCTCCACGCACTCGCAGTCACAGTACAAACAGCTATTCGGTGTTAGATCAGCAAAGGAAACCAGCCCCAGTGCAAAGACAATTTTAGATCTATGTCCTGTTTCCTGTGGAAGCGCAAAACCAAAGGGGAGCCCACTGGTAGGACAGAGCAAGCACCCGTGAAGGTGCAGCCTGTTTTAAACTTAAGTTCTGATTCAGCAGGTTTGCAGCGGGTCCTGCGAATCTATCTGTTAACAAGCATCCCCAATCCCAGCACTATGGGAGGCCGAGACGGGCGGATCACGAGGTCAGGAGATCAAGACCATCCTGGCTAACACGGTGAAACCCCCTCTCTACTAAAAAATACAAAAAACTAGCCGGGCGAGGTGGCGGGCGCCTGTAGTCCCAGCTACTCGGGAGGCTGAGGCAGGAGAATGGCGCAAACCCGGGAGGCGGAGCTTGCAGTGAGCTGAGATTCCGCCACTGCACTCCAGCCTGGGCAACAGAGCGAGACTCCGTCTCAAACAAAACAAAACAAAACAAAACAAACAAAAAAAAAACAAGCATCCCCTGTGGGAGGGGTTCTGATGCAGAGTGTAGGAGGGCTGCCTGTATTCTGAGAAACACTGGATGGTGTCTGCCAAGATTCAATAGCAGACATTATTACAATTATTGGGAGACACAGGCTGTGCCAAATAGTAAAACAAAAATAAATATATTTACATTTCCCAGGGTTTGGCCCAATCAGACTGCTTGGCTCACATAAATCCCAGTGCATAGGCATTTGCAAACAATAAGCATATGTTTAGCATCCTAAACTCTACTTTTAAATAACACATTAAGGAATAGTCATGATTTATGCAATTAGTAAGTCCACAATTAACACTGAAGACTATTAACAATAATTAACACATAATTTTTACTATGCTATACTAATTTTAAAATACCTTTCACAACTCAAGGGATCTGGCAGTTTTTCAAATTTTTCTAGAAGGCCTGGCTTACACCAGCATCCATGACCATCTTCCTTTCTTGGAAACTGGACCTTCAGATCTTATTCATGTGTTTGATAATTTCATCATAAAGAACAAAGACAACTGCGATGTGCAGACGTACTCTGCCATAGCACAGAATTGTTCTTTGTAAAAGTTTGTTCGATACAAACTTTATATGAAAAAAAATTGCCCTTCAAGGGAAAAACAAAAAAAACAACCTCAAAAGCTTTTCATAGAAGTCCCTGGTATTTGTATTGGGAAATACAAACCAGGTGAAACATACGTTTTTAATTTTTTTGCTCATTAATTTTAAAAAAAAGATTACTGAGTGCCTATTTTGTTTCAGGTACTCTTCCCAGTATTGGCCTAGCACCAGCCTTAAAGCAACCTTCGGTGAACATAATATATACTGATTATATATTACATACTTCCCTATTGACTAATATAACTAATGGACTAGTTCACTTCAAAAGAAATGATTTTTCCTGGGCATCATTTTAGCAGAAGTTCTGCTTCCTTTTCTTTCATGCATAGAAAATGTGTTTTCTCCTAATGCAGAGGGGCGGGGATGCTTTTTCTGCCCCAGTGAGTGGCCAGGAGAAAATTGCTTTCTCTTTGTATATGAACTCAAGGGCCAACATTATTCTAGCAACAGTAGGACAGGTGGCAAAAGTGTTCTTGTGTCCTAGTTGCTGCCACTAGAAAGTTCAGGCAACTGGAAAGTTGCCTAAAATCATGGCCTGCAAGTTATATACCTTACATAATGAGGCACTGGAGAGACAGCCAAAAATTCCCAATCAAAAATATGCAAGCTAGGCGCAGTGGCTCTTACTTGTCATCCCAGCATTTGGGAGGACAAGGTGGGAGGATTGCTTGAGCCCAGGAGGTTGAGGCTGATGTGAGCCCTGATGGCACCACTGCACTCAGCCTAGGCAACAGAGGAAGACTCTGTCTCATTTAAAACAAAATATGCAAACGTCAGTGTGTTTTGATGTCTTTCTTCAAATCACTTAGCAGAATTCATGCCCTTTTCATTTACATTAGATGTTTGAGACAGTTTTCAAGGGAAATATTATTATTATTATTGAGACGGATTTTCTCTCTTGTTACCCAGGCTGGAGTGCAACGGCACGATCTCGGCTCACTGCAACCTCCACCTCCCGAATTCAAGCAATTCTGCCTCAGCCTCCCCAGTAGCTGGGAGTACAGGCATGCACCACCATGCCACGCCCAGCTAATTTTGTATTTTTAGTATAGACGGGGTTTCTCCATGTTGGTCAGGAGACCACGCCCAGTCAGGAAATATTATCTTTGAAGTCTGAAATCCAAAATTGCTTTCAAGGTGAATAAAAGGATTTTAAAAGATTGTAACAATTTTATTTCTGTGATGATCACTGAGTGTAAATTCTTCATTCTCTATCAGGAAATCCATCTAAGACTTCCATAGAAGTGAAAAAATATATAGTTTTTTAGTCTGTAATTAAGGGGAAATATTTCATGGGATGAGAACTGGATACAGGCTGGGCACAGTGGCTCACGCCTGGAATCCTAGCCCTTTCGGAGGCCAAGGCAGGTGGATCACCTGAGGTTGACAGTTCAAGACCAGCCTGGTCAACATGATGAAATCCCATCTCTACTAAAAATACAAAAAATTAGATGGGTGTGGTGGCGGGCACCTGTAATCCCAGCTATGCAGGAGGCTGAGGCAGGAGAACCCGGGAAGCAGAGGTATCAGTGAGCCAAGATTGCGCCACTGCACTACAGCCTGGTCAACAAAGTAAGACTCCGTCTGAAAAAAAAAAAAAATCGGACCAAGCATCGCCAGTATGTCTTCTGTAGAATTAAACAGAATCAGAGACAAGAAGCAACTTTATTCACATTATAAATGAAACACTTTTGTTTTGTGTATACTGTTAGTTTCTGTTTTAAAATACTCACAGATGATCATATTAAGAAATAAAGGCCAGGCGCAGTGGCTCACGCCTGTAATCCCAGCACTTTGGGAGGCCAAGGGGGTGGATCACCTGAGGTCAGGAGATCGAGACCAGCTTGGCCAACCCAGTGAAACCCTGTCTCTACTAAAAATACAAAAAATTTAGCCAGGCATCGTGGCGGGGGCCTGTAATCCCAGCTACTCGGGAAGCTGAGGCAGGAGAATTGCTTGAACCCAGGAGACGGAGGTTGCAGTGAGCAGAGATCACACCACTGCACTCCAGCCTGGGTGGCAGAGCGAGACTCCATCTCGAAAAAATAAAAAAGAAATAAAACTTCCAAGTTTATTTTCCCCAAGTTGTAACATGATCCAGAAGTTGAAATTCATTGAATCCCTTGTTGTACTCATTATGGTAATAATGAGATGTTTCCTTCTTCCAGTTAATTATATTAACGTGGAGCTTGCCAACTGGTGAACTGCAGATGGGTTAAGACACGGATGCCTCAGGCCGAAGCCCTAAGGCCAAGTATCTCCAGCCAGGAGCAGCTTCCTCAGCTCAACCAGCCGATTTTTGTTTAGTATTTTCTGCCTGAGCCATGAAATGAAAATCTTCAGAGTCAAACATTCTTGGGACTCACGATGTTAATAGTTTGCTTTGTAGAGTGTCTGGCTTCAGGACACAAGTTAAATCCTATACAGTTAGAAGAGAATTTCTTTTTAATTTAAAAAAACTTTTAGGCTGGGCACGGCAGCTCGCGCCTGTGATCCCAGCACTTTGGGAGGCTGAGGTGGGCAGATCACCTGAGGTCAGGAGTTCGAGACCAGCCTGGCCAACATGGTGAAACCCCATCTCTACTAAAAAT